CAGAGGTCGCCAACAAGTTCTAGATGCCGATCTCGACGCTTCTCGACTACAAGCTGAGTGGCAACTGTGCGCTCAACTTTGGCACGCTGCGACTTCGATCCAGGCGTGGGAAGACGGGCTGGCCTGGGCACCTGAGGGAGGCGAGCTGGCATCTCGAGTCGGCGTGTGAGTAGCTGTCTGGCAGACGATCGGAGACTCAGCTGCAAACCACAGTGGGTCTTCCATGGGACAGACAGGGCCGCCTGCACATCTACAAGGTACGCGGCGGCTGCAAAACTACGCACAACATAATCAATGTGACTGCCACTTCTTCCAGCGTCGCACGTGTCATCGATGGGGGCCTTCACGACCTCGCCTCCGACTCGTGCTAAAACCCCGATGCGGCAAGAGATGTCGAAGACACGTTGAGATCTCCCACAACGATCCAGGGCAACTGGAGTGATGACAGGAAAGCTCCTAGCTTCGAGAAGCGTGCGATATTGTCGTCGGTCATGCCGACCGAAGTGAAACCGTAGAATGTAATGATCACGATCGAGTAGCCTGACATGTGCACAACTACTGCCGTGAAGCCGTCGGTGGCCGACTGGCCGTCAAACTGATACTCTGGCAAATTCAGCTGGGGGGCAAGCGAGTGCACCTGGTAGTGTCCAGGGGCCAAAATCCACTCGCCTCCCTCAGTGGCTCTCTCGAACCCTCGTGCAGTCGTGGACTTGCCTGTAGCCCGAGCTGGGTTGGCAACTAATCTGGGACAAGACTGACGGGACTTCTTTGTCCACTCACGCAAGGCAGTGCGGGAAACGTGCGTCTCCACAAAACAAAAAATCTGATGGGTGTCATTCTCACGAGCCCTACGGACGAAGTTCCACACCTTCTCCCCCATGGCGGTAACGTTGCCAAACAGAAGCTGCGTATACTTGTCATCGCTCGTGCAATTCGATGCCACCCCTAGTCAAGATGACGCAGGGATCGGGTCCTCAGACAGATGCTGCTGGGACTGGAACTTGGCGGCTGAGAGCTTGGCTGCCTCAGCACGAACTCGTTCTGCATGGACATCTGCTGCTGGAGCCGCACCTGCGGCCGCACCCTCAGGCGCCTGCGGCGCTGCCGCCGCCGCTGCCTGGCTGCCGCCGCTGCCGCTGCCACCACTGGCTGCGGGCGCGGCCTCGCCTGGCTGCGGCGCTGCGGGGGGTGCGGCCTGGCCCTCGGCCGTGCGCCTCTTCTTCATGAAGCGGTCCTTGATGGCCTGGCGCATGTCCTGGGCGTTCTTGAGCATCATGGTGACCTCATCAGCCTTGCCATCGAGGGTGGTCTTGGCCGACTGCAGCTCGCTATGAATCTTCCTCAAGGTCTCCTTCTCGGAGTCCTCGCATTCCAACTCGTCAAGATTGTCGAACAGCGTGTGGTCGTACACTAGCTCGAAGGGCTTGCCACACTTGTCGTCGGCCTTCCCCTCTGGTGGCTTGGGTACAACTCCCTCAGCCGTTGCCAGTGCACGTGCGGCCTGCTGTTTCACGATGGTGGCCTCCGCCAGCTCCTCGGCAAGACGACGCTCCTTGAGCTCTGCTGCCTCCAATTGCCGACGAATGCGAAGGACTGATTGCACTGATTGGGTATGGCGATTGTTGGCATCCCTCCAAGCGCTGTCAGCCCTCTGAAGAGACGGAAGCGCATCCTTGGGCTGCATGTGCTGTGCCTCCTCACGCTTGAGCTGGGCGACCTGCTGCATCAAAGCCTCCTTCAACTTGGGATCCTGCGCGGCAGCGATCGCCTGCTCTAGGAGGGTGCGGGCTGATGATTCAACTGCATGTCCACGCGTCCCTTTGCTCGCCTTGGAGCTGCGGGGCGTGGACTGGTTACTGCCTGCATCACTATCCTTACGATCCTTGGCGAAGCTCACGTTCTTGATGATACCCTTCGGCGGCGCACTGGGACTCTTGGGCCTCAGCACGTAGAGCTTCACCTTGCGTCCACAGCGGGCACACTTGCGGTCTCTCTGCTCGAGTCTGTCGTTGTATTCACACTGCCCACACGAGCGGCATGTCGACCATGGCGCCATGGATGCTGGAAACCTCGGATTTCGTCACCACTCTATCACGGGAGAGACGGGCAAATCTTCAGCCCGAGAGAAGTGGTGTGCCCCAAGCACCACGGGGAGGTACCGAGGCTGGGTTCGGAGCGAGAAACTGCCCTGCGCACGGGGGCGAGGGACTTGCGCTCGAGCCCAGATTGCTTGAGAGGAGGAGGAGGAGGAGGAGGAGGAGGAGGAGGAGGAGGGAGGAGGAGGAGGAGGAGGAGGAGGAGGAGGAGGAGGAGGAGGGAGGAGGAGGAGGAGGGAGGAGAGGAGGAGGAGGAGGAGGAGGAGGAGGAGGAGGAGGAGGAGGAGAGAGAGAGAGGACGAGGAGGAGGAGGAGGAGGAGGAGGAGGAGGCCCTGGCCCCCGGCCTTCTTGGCCTCCCCCGGGCCTCTCTGCCTTCCCCGCACCCTGCCGTCGCTCGGACGTCCAGTCCTCATGCCTTCTTCGGTGTAGTGTGTTTTTTTGGTCGGGGATGGACAAAACCTCCTTTGTGGAATCGACCTTGGGCCCAAACCTGGTGGGCGCAAACCTGGGCTGCGGCGCCCTCTCGAGAACTGCAAACCGACAACTCACTACTCGACGCGTCAGGGGGCGGGGGGGTCCTATCCGCCCCCGATGTTTTCTGGGAGGCTCGATGCTCCAGGATGCCCCTCGATGGACCCCGCCGAGACAAACAAAGGCCAAGTCCGAGCGATGCCCAAGCACCCCCCGCCCCCGCTGGCCCCCGCGGGCGCGGGGCCTCTGCGCGCAGCCGCCGGCCAGGGCGGCCTGCCGCAGGACCGGGCAACATCGAGCAGCGGAGCGTCGCATCGGCTCGCAGACGTGCTCGCGCCGTGAGTGATGGGCCTGTTTCCCACCACCACCACCACCAGAAGTGGGAGGGGGGAAAGAGGTGGAGGACGAGGAGGAGGACGAGGGAGAGGAGGAGGAGGAGGAGGAGGAGGAGGAGGAGGATGAGGAGGACGAGGAGGAGGAGGAGGAGGAGGAGGAGGAGGAGGAGGAGGAGGACCCCCTCTCCCTCCAACTTATGGTGGTGGTGGTGGGAAAAAACCCATCAGCGAAACATCGTGACCGCGGTGTCTTCGGCGGCGAAGGGCGTGGCGGGAAGCGTGCTGAGAAGCCCCGCCGCTCCTGGACCTCCGGGCGTTTTCTTCACGCTCTCGTCTTCGGTCGCCGCTGTCGATTGTCGCCAATCGTCACCGTTGTCGTCGTCAGCGTCGCGCCAGCGTCGTCGCTGGTCGTTGTCGTCGCGCCCGCGAGGGGGGGAAAGAGAGAGAGGGCACGCCCTCTCAGAAAGCGGCGGGGTTTCTCGGAAGCCCTCTGGCCTTCTGAAGCACCGCCTCCATCTTCGGAGAAGGCCGAGGGAACGTCAGGCCCCCCCCTGGGCTCGCCACCCCTTTTCTCAAACGAGCCCGGCACAAGCACAAGCTTTCCACGGCCCGCGCAGATCTCGGGAGCGGCCAAGAGGGGGGTGTCCAAGAGGGGGGGTGCAAGTCATGACCGGCGGCACGTGCGCGGCCCAGCGGGGGGGCCTGGGACGTGATGAAACAAGAAGGGGCGCCATGAAATCTGGGGAAAAATCATAACCCGCGCCATGATATCCACCCCCCCTAGTCATCACCCCCCTCTCTTCCGCCCTCGACTCAAACGAACCCAGCATAAGCACAAGCGTTCCACGGTCCGCGTAGATTCCTCAGATCTGCGCTGACCCCCCCCCTTGGCGGCGCCTCTGGCGCCGCCGCAGGTGCGCCCCGCGCGCCAGGGCGGTCCAGCGCAGCTCCATCAACTCTACGCGGACCGTCGAACGTTGATGTTACAGTCAAAATCTCTAGTAGGGACGCGCGGTAAGGACGCAAGGCCCTTGGAAGCCGATGTTGCAATTTTTTGGGGCGGCGGACGACGAAAACCCCGTAAGCGGGCAAGCGAAAGAGGCCAAGGACGAGCCGCAAGAGCAAGGATGAGCAAGGACGCAAGGGTACCCTGAACAACGTCGCGCGTCCTTATTAGGGTTCTTGACTGTAACGCTGCTTTTTCTTATTAATCTTTTTTTCGGGCCTGGCGCGCTCAGCCTCCGAAGGCCCTCGCGGGCCGTCGGGGCAGCCAAATGACGACTCGGGACGACGGCACGGCCCCAGAGAAAAAAAGGCCGGCACTCTCGGGGACCCCGCATTTAGACAAGCGCGCTTCACCGCTCGCAACTTAACTACTCGCAAGTGGCCTGGATCCGCAGCAGGGGTTGCGATCCACTACACCGAGGTGTTCATGTTGTTTTTCGGGCCTTTGCGAGTAGGCACTTTGCGAGTAGTGGAACGCGCTCGGCGAGTATTGACAACATTGAAACATCAGGCGTCTGGGATCGGAACGTGCGTCGCATCTGGCCGCGTCGGAGCACCTTTGTGACAGCGGGCCGGGCTGGCAGAAACCGATACCGAAGCGGATCGATCGAGTCGAAAAAACCCTGGAAGAACAGAGGAGGGAAGGGATGGAGGGGAGAGGGCGGGTGGGAGCGAGGGAGGGGGGAGGAGGGAGGAGGGAGAGGGAGGAGGGCGGAGGAGGGGGGAGGAGAAGGAGGAGCATGCTCCTGAGGCTCCTGATGACACGCACCGATCCGTCGGCGCCTGGCGCGCAGGCCGCGCCGCCCTGCCTATGTCGAGCAGCGGATGCCGAACCAGATGGCCCAACGCAAAACTACTGGCAGGCTACCCGTTACGACGCCTGCTACCAGAGGCCAGCAGGAGCCATGGCAGGCAGCCCACGCCACCGCGCGAGCCAAAGCTCGGCGGACCAGTAAGTTTTCCGAGCAACGCCCAGCAGCGGCGACCCGCCACGAGCAGAAAACCGGCCCAACGGCCAAAAGCGAGGCGGAACCAGCAATGGCGACGAGACGCAGCCCAAGCCGAGCAGCGCCGACACCGCCACGGTCGACCTCAAGCCTTGCCCTCGATGGGCTTCGCAGCCTCGACCGACTTCCCGATGGAGCCGCTCTTCGAGACCAGGAACCGCAAATCCTCCAACTCCTCCTCCAAGCACTGTGCCTCCGGTGTTGCCGCGTCCCGGCAGCATGCGCCACCGGGCCCGCGGCGCCGCGCGGCATGCGCCACGCGTCTGGTCTGCCAGAACACCATGCCGAAAACAACCACCTCGATGAAACCGAGCTTGCCGAGCTTCTTCACCAGGAGGTTCACCTTGACGACGTCGTCGAAAACCCAAAAGATCCCAGCCTTGGTCGTCATCTTCTGGCAGGTCTTGTTCATCATACCGCTTGTGACGAACGTACCACCAGACCGCAGACACCCATCGCGGCTCGCGGGCGCCGCGCCGCTCCCAGGAGCGCGCCCGCAACTCCTCCTTGAGCCAAAATGGCTTGAGCCAAAATGGCTACGGAGAAGGAGGAGAAGGAGGAGAAGGAAGAGGAGGAGGGAGGAGGAGGAGGAGGAGGAGGATGGAGGGAGGAGGAGGGAGGAGCAGGAGGGAGGAGGAGGGATGGAGGGATGGAGGGATGGAGGGATGAGGAGGGAGAGGGAAGGACAGGGGGGACGGTCTGGGTGGGCCCACCCCCCACCACCCCGGACCCACTTCCGCCAGGGAACTCTCTGGACCTCCCCCTGGGACCCTTTTCCTCCACTGGACTCTCTTGGGCATCCCCCTCGGTCCTAGACATCTCCTCCTCCTCCTCCTCCTCCTCCTCCTCCTCCTCCTCCTCCTCTATTGTCGTATGCCTTCGCTCTGGAGCCCCTCCCCCCCCCGCTGGGACAAGGACAGGCCTCCCCCAACGGCGCGCCGTGAGGCCTTACCTCCTGCCGGCGAGCGCGGAGGGGAGCGGGTGGAGGAGAGCAGGAGGTTCGGAGGCAACTACTGGGAGGTGTTCGTCGGAAGGATGAAGGAGGATCAAGCCCCCTTGAAGGGCTGCTACGCCAGAGTGGGCCTCGGATCAAGCGGGATTAAGCCGGATTAAGCAGGATTAAACGGGATTCAGCGGGATTCAGCGGGACTGAGCCAGATTAAGCAGGTTTTCGGACCAGGGCTAAATTAGAATTTGACCTCCCAGGAGCTGCATCCGAACGGAGGCGCGGAGCAGCAGAGAAGTGCAGCCACCGCCCTGCCAGAAGCAGACGCCGAGCAAGGAACGAAGTGGGCACGTGACCACGACGAGCCCGACCCGGGTCCGAAGAGCGGCCCCATAAGCAGAGCCACTACGGACAGCCTACCAGACCACCTCAATGAAGGGGCCCACGGACACACACACACACACACACAAACACATCCGAACACACACACACACACACACACACCCGCACACCCGCACACCCGCACACCCGCACACCCGCACACCCGCACACCCGCACACCCGCACACCCGCACACACACACACACACACACACACACAAACACACACACACACACACCACAAACACACACCACAAACACACACCACAAACACACACAAATCCCAGGATGTCCCATATTTTCTTATGGTTTCTGGGTTTTCGTCTTCCCCCACACTTCCCATGTTTTCCTGGGAATCGACGATTAATTGTGTCTGTGTTTTCCCCCTCCTGACTCAACCCAACCCGAAGACCCGACTTTTTCGGGTGGGGGGGGGGGGGTACGGGCTCCATATCTCTTTTTTTCAGCGCTCCCCGACCCCCGCCCCAACTGGAAATGGGGGTCAAATCGGGGCCTTCGGGTTGGGTTGGGGTGGTTTGGTGGGCGGTGAACCTCTGCGGCCAGAGCGGTCCATATCTCAGCGCCCGGGCCGTATGCAGAGACGGGTGATGCGGGTGATCACGCCGCCCCGAAGAAAGAAGTCACCGTCGGGATGGCAGTGCATGGACGGGGTGGTGGTTCTATGGCCGCATGCTGGACACGGGTGCGGAGCACATGCAGGCACGCACCCCAACGACAAACCACGTGCAAAGGGAGGGTGCTGATGATGGCGAGGAGGAGCAGGAGGAGTGCGCTTGGGAGGGTGTGAGCGTCAGCAACAGGAGAACGCGGAGGAGCATCACGCACATTGTGAGGAACGTCGAGAGAGATGATGCGGTGTGGAGGGAGATCATCATCTGACGATGGGCGCACGTATGCGAAATCGTAAGGAGGGGTGGAGGCAATCAAGGAGAGAGGATGATGAGGGGGAAGGGTGACGATGAGAACGGGGACGAGAACGATGAAGGGGCGCCAGGACTATACCCGAGCTCTACGAATATGATCATAATGCTTCCATGCTGAATCCATGCGTCGCAACAACGGCTGCAATGCGTGATCGGAAAATGGTTACATGAACTTTCCGAACGGCTGGCAAGGTCAGGGCTAACATGTCGAATCGATGGGATGGTCACTCACTCAATTGGGATTTTACCACAACGGCACTACCGATGCCAATATAATTACGAACACGTTGAAGTGTGATCATAACCGGGCTGCCTTGGTTTCTGCCGGTGTTGGGCAATCGCCTCTGTCTCAAATCGACAACGTCCGCGGCGACGCCGACAGCGAACCCCGTTCAAAATGGGCAGAAACTGTTGGTAATATTCGTATCCCTTCTTTCCGCACCCACTTTGATCTCACCGACACGACATTCACCCCCCTAGCCATCACTCCTTCGAGACGGCCGGGGGGTCTGAACTGGCTGGGGCCTCAGAAAATCTGTCATGAGGGGGGATGAGGCCAGATCCGGTCCAAATCGGTCCGCGGCCCTCTTCCTTGGTCCATCTGGAGCAGCGTTTCTCCCTGGATTCGTTTTTCACTAATTGTGGGGCCCAATAACGACCCCTGGAGGCCGAAAAAGGCAAACAACCTTCCCGAATCCAAAACGTCCTACCTGCTCGCCCTTCCTGCTGGCCGGAACCAGTGCTGTGCCATCTCAGTCCCCGAGACGGTTCCAAATAACGCTCTTCTTTGTACCAGCTTCGAACTCCTCCCTGTCCCTAAGATGGACAAGCCCAAAAAGGCGGTGACAATCTTGAGGATGCGCCCTCAGAAACTAAGAGACAAGATGACACCAGTCTTCGGGATAGGGGCATCTTCCAGTCAAGTAACTGACTACCTACCACACCACCCAACCCAACCCGAAGACCCGAATGTCGGGTTGGGGGGGGGGGGGTACGGGTTCCCTGTGTTTTTCAATGCTCCCCGACCCCCCCCCAGCTGGAAATGGAGGGCAAATAGGTTGGTTAGGAGGCAACTACTGGGAGGTTTTCGTCAGAAGGATTAAGGAGGATTAAGCCCCATTGGGGGGCTGTTACGCCAGAGTGGGCCTCGGATCAGGCGGGAGCAAGCCAGATTGAGCGGGGTTCAAAAGGATTCAGCCGGATGTCGGACCCGGCAACGTCGGAATTTGACCTCCCGGCAATTGTATCCGAAGGCTGGGGGGGGCTTTGGTGGGCAGCGACTACGTCAGGTTCGTGTCGTGACGACCCCGGCGTTGGTTTCTGACTCCGCGTGGATCGTTCAACCTTGAACGATCGGCGACTGTGGATCGCTCGATCGTTCCATATAGGCCGATTCTGGGCCACTGGCGGCGTTCAACCTTGAACGCCCGCGGCGGGGTCGCCGCCGGTCGACACGACGCGAACCTACCGTAGCTCTGGGCCCACTTCCGGTCCTGGCTCCAGCCGTCCAGCCCTCCCGGGCTGCCGCGGCTGCCAGTCCTCGGGCGGCGGTCGGCCGCGACCTGCCGCGCCCAGGGTCGGGGGGGGGGGGGCCGCCGCGCGGCCGCCGTCGGGAGGCGCTGGCGGCCCCTCTCGGCTGAATCGCGCCGAGGCAGGCTGCGAACGCGGACGCCCGGAACTTGGGACGGTGAGACCGTACAAAAAGGACGCGCGAGAAGGCTGCAGGGGCCTTGAAGGCCACGCCGACGATTGCAATTTGCGAGCGGGGTGCGGCCAGCGAAGGCGGCCAAGAATGGGCTGGCGGGGAACGATGCAGGGGTAAGCTTGGAGAGTCGCTCCTCCTCACCGAGGCGGGTTGGCGGCAGCCCAGGGGCGGGCACGACACGTACGCCGAGGGCATCGGATGAGGAACACAGTGGACAAGGAGTCCAGGGCCTAGAAACCTCAACTGAGCCACGATCAAAAACGGATCTTACGCGAGATGGCACAGCGACCTTACGCGATGGCTTAAGCGGGCCGCCAGCGAGGCACGTCAAAATGGAGACGAGGGCGCTCACGCGCGACCTTACGCGGGCAGCTTACGCGCCAATGTCGGCGCAGACGACCCCATTCTTTTTGTGCGTCGCTTAATTGAGGCTTGGCCGAGGACATCACCACCATTCTCATCAGATAAGGAATCCTCCAGGGCCTGCCGCCTCCTGAACACACTCTTCAACCAACGCCGCCACCGTAGCCCAGGGCAACCTCGGAAAGTCGCTCCTCCTTCCTGGGCACGGAAGCACGAAGAAAAATGTAGCGTAGGCCAGGAGCTTGGGCTCCCGAAGCCCGCGCATGCTCGCGTCGTGAAGACATCGGGACGGAAGGTTCTCCGACGTCTTCGGCCCCTGGGGGCCCTCAGCGGGCCCTGGGACCATCCCAAAAACGACTCAGGATGAAACACCGGTTCCAGGGGAAGGGTCGGGACTTCCGGGGGCCGCGTATGGGAAATATCAGAACGTCGCATGCCTGGGAATGGGTGCAGAAAAACTGAGTACGATGCCAAAAAGCCAATGTTGTCCCAAACCGACAGCGGCCGATGTTGGTCAGGCGGCCCCTCTGTCTCAGGTGGGCCACGACCGCGGCGACGTCGACAGCGACCTCTCTTCAGCACGAAAAAACTGCTGTTGGACGCTGAACCCATTGCTTCCGTACCTGTTCTAGCTGGTGCCCCGAAACAGAGCGCGAGAAAGCAACATCAATCAACATCGAATCGGGAAGTCGCATCGACACGCAATGTGCGTCGGATCGGGCCGCATCGGCACGGAGTTGGAATCGAACACTGGCCATCGCTCGGACGTTCATTCCCTGTGTTTTTTTTCGGTTTCTTGCGTGGTTTTTTCTCAAAATGATGAAGGATGCTCCTAGATTGTCCTTGCCGAAGGAAAAATGCACACGTCCGAGCGATACAGAGTCGAAACGCAATGTGCGTCGGATCGGGCCGCACCGGCACGGAGTTGGAATCGCACAGGATCGGCTGTGCAAAAAGGTGCACAGCATCGCCGTGCAGACCTCGGGCCGAGTCGGAGCGGCTGCCTATCGCTCTGCCGAGAAGTGCTCGGAGCGAAGACAGAGACAGCTCCTCAGAAGGCGCGAGGGCTTCTGAGAAGCCCCGCCGCCTTCTGAGGAGGCCTGCTCCCTTTCACTTTCACTCCAGGCGCGCCGCCGACAACCAAGACCCAAACATGCTGGCGTCGTGAACAATTCAGGATGGACGTTTGATTGCCATGTTCGGCCTCTCGCCGGGTCTTGAGACCGTCAATAAGCGACTCAGGAGGAAAAGCTTGTACGTGGAGAGGGGTCCAGACCGCTGGGGGTCACGTCATGATGAAATCATGACGTCGCGGGACTGGGTTGGCAGCGCCGATGCAGGCCAAGAGGCCGCAGGAGTCCTACGTAAGTGCAGCTCGGTGGGGCTATCACCTTTGCGGACGCAGGCTGAAGCGCGAACTAGGCTGCGGAACGGGCGACAGAGACTGTGTCGAAAAACATCAAAATGACTCCGCATCTGCTTCAAGACTGGCGTATACATAACGATGAATGAATGACTTCGAAGTTCCTTGGACCACTTGTCTACGCTCGAGCTGACGTGCTGATGCTGATACCTAGCGCGCGAGCTGGAGGTAATTCCAAGAGTCTACCTGGCGTTACTAAGCTCGCCAGCGACTCTTCTTGCTAGATCAGCTGCGGAATCAGTTTGCTGATGCGACGCGGGGCATTGCGATGAGGCGTGCTCCTGTTGTACTCCAAACTCGATGGCCTCAGGAGGCGAAGGAAGAAACAAACAATATATATATATATATAGATGGAGAGAGAGAGAGAGAGAGAGAGAGAGAGAGCTAGAGAACGAGCGAGAGAGTAGGGCCGGCCAGATAACAGCGGGGACAAAAAGGGGGGAAGGAGGGGGAAGATGGAAAAAGGGCGGGAGCTGGAGCGGAAGGGCCAGAAGCAGCAGGACGGAGAGGCAAGGGAGGAGGAGGAGGAGGCGGAGGAGAATGAGGAAGGGGAAGGAGGATGAGGAGGAGGAGGCGGAGGAGGACGGGGAGAAGCAGGGCCAGAAACAGGCAGAAGGATGAGGAGGAGCAGCATCAGCAGGCGGAGCAGGAGCAGGCGAATGCAGAAGAGGAAGGAGAGGAGGAGGGAGGAAGATGGAGATGGGGATGGGGGGGAGTAGCCAAGTAGAGGAGGAGGAGGAGGAGGAGGAGGAGGAGGAGGAGGAGGAGGAGGGAGGGGGGAGGAGGAGGAGAAGGGATCGGAAGGACGATGGGGATGGATACTGGTGTGGGGGAAGACGAGCAAGTGAAGCCGAGGTAAAGGAGGAGGAGGAGGAGGAGGAGGAGGAGGACGAGGAGGAGGAATGTGGGGAGGAGGGGAGGAATTGGGGTGGGGGAGGAGGAACAAGGGTAGCCGAGGAGGAGGAGGAGGAGGAGGAGGAGGAGGAGGAGGAGGAGGAGGAGGAAGAGGAGGAGGAGGAGGAGGAGGAGGACGAGGAGGAGGAGGAGGAGGAGGAGGAGGGGAGGAGGAAAAGGGGAGGAGGATGGGGATGGACCTTGGGGTGGGGGAGGAGGAGCAAGGGTAGCCGAGTAGAGGAGGAGGAGGAGGAGGAGGAGGAGGAGGAGGAGGAGGAGGAGGAGGAGGAGGAGGAGGAGGATACGGGGATACTGGGACTGCCAGCCGAATACTGTGGTTCAACTCTGCCGCGTGTTAAAGCGCCCGGTGGGGCATGGGCTCCACCACCACTTCCCCTCCAAGCCCGGAATGATCTCCAGTGTTCCGCCTCTCGTGTGCTAATTACGTGCTGGGGTCTCCTGCTCACTGCCCGCTGCGGCTCCGTGGCTCCGTCCTCGCTCTGGTTGTGGGGAATCCGTGATCCACGCGGCAAATTGAGCATCTCTTCGCCGCCGGGTGGCTCGTGTTCCGGTGCCACCGACACCGAGCGTGAGATGGGCTCGAGGCCTGATGCCACCAACGCCAGGCCGCTCGGGAGGAGCGCCGATCGAGCGCCCGGCTCGCGCGGCGCAGGCCTTGGAGCTGGCATGAGAAACCCGGCCGCGACGGTGTGCCCACGACTGGCCTGGTGCAGCCCTTTTCTGCCGGACCTGGCGAGCAATCTCGGAGCGCGAGCGTGCCCAATAAGAGTCCTCACTTGGGCCTGGCAGGACCAGTCAACATCGAATCGGGAAGCCGGGTCGAGTCGAACCGTGCGCCGGGCTGCATACTCACGGAGTCGAAGTCGACTCGGATCGGCTGCGCAAATATGCTCAAAAGCGCCATGCAAGCATCACTGATCATTGCATGGCGGCCTGACGCAGGCCGCATCAACTCGTCGCAATATCGGAATCGAAACGGATCGGGCCAGCCGGAATCAATATCGGATCGGACCAACATGAACCCTGCGGCGTGCTAGTGCCCAATGGCCTGGCGCGTTGCTCCCGACTCCGGCCAGCGCAGGCGTTGCCAGCCTAGCGTGCCCTTGCCAATGTCATGGAAGCAGCGGGGGGCTAGCCATGGGGCCAGCGGCCACGCTAAGTCGGTCCAGCCGCGGACGCAAGTGACATTCTCGAGCCAGAACCTCTTCCCCCTTCCCCCTTCCCCCCCTCGACCTGTCGCAGCACTCCTCCGTTCTGTCCTCCTCGCCATCCTCGGCCTCTTGGCGCTTCTCCTCCTGCTTCTGCCGCTCCTGCGACATTCCTCCCAGGCAGTGGAGGAGGGGGAGCAGGAGCGAAGGGAAGTGAAGCACCCCAGAAGCGAACGCGTCTCCTCGAGCCCCAGGCCGCCCTGTCGGCAGTGGGCGCCAACAGACAGGGGCGGATTCGGCGCGGGCCCCCTGTGGAGTCTTACCGCGGCGATGAAAAAGGCGAGGGACGTGCCCGACACGCGCGCCAGGGGAGCAAGCAACGACGGACAACCGCTCTACAAGCCCGTGGGCGAGAGACGGGCCGCGCGCGCCACGTGCGCCAGGCGGCAGCAGCTAAGCCGGTAAACCGCTCTACGAGCCCACGACACGCCGCGCGTGCCGCCCCGATCAGCCACCAGAGGGGCACCACTCCCTCCCTCGGTGACAGCCCGCCCCCACGCACGCCACGGAGGGGGGACGGTGACCATGGAAAGAATGGACGGGGATCCTCCGATGAGCCCCCCCCCGCATAGGGGACCCGCGACACCACCCATGCCCAAGCGGAGTACTGGGAGGGTTAAGCAAGGGTGTCACAGCAAACCGTGGCAGACCCACAATCCAGGCACGGGACACGGTAGGAAAAGCCGCGCACTGAAGCCCTGGACTGCCCCCGCCCGCCGAAACGAGACAGGCGCAGCCCCGAGACCTCAGGCGCGACCCTTCCCCCACGGCGCATGCTGGGACGGACTACGACTACCATGTTTCTCTCCCCCAGGGTCCCGAAGGAGCACCTGGGGTGACGAACGGGAGGCTACCCGCCTGTTCTCCTGGGAAGGAGGAGGCGGAGGAGGAGGAGGAGAAGGAGGAAGATGAGGAGATTCTGGAGATTCTGCATGATCGCGTAGCGATTGGAGGAAGATGAGGAGGAGGAGGAGGAGGAGGAGGAGGAGGAGGAGGAGGAGAAGGGAGGAGGAGGAGCGAGGGGCGAATCTCACAGGCGCTTCCCCACAGGCCTCCAACATGGGGCCGTAGCAAACTGGGTCGGAGCATCGCGCAACCATCGCCGATGCAACGGTGACGGCGGAAGGGAGACGACCGGGCGCCAGATCGCGCCGCAGCGCCGGTGCAATGGGCGATGCGGGGCGATCCTTCGTGACCCCATCTGCACCGGCCTGGGGACCCAGACCCTATAGACCCATCCCAAGGCAGCTCTCCGGCCAGAATTTCACGCGGGATCCAACGGTGGTGACGAGACACCTCCCGCATATGATCGTTTTTTCTTGGGCGTTTCGACATTGGGCGGCAGGGGGGGGGGGATGGGGGGGTCTGGCTCCAGATCTCTGCATGGTGCGACTGTTTGCAGCAGTGCGTCCTCTGGGGGAAACTCCACCTGCTCGAAACATGCGCCAAAAACAGCCAAGATCTACTCCAGGGCGGGGGGGGTGAGGGGGTTGCGAGGGCCCGCGCCGATCGGCAAAACAATGAACAACAAAAACGTCACAATCCGATCTAAAAATCTGCACCCTGCCCAATCATCCGACGTCGTCTTTTTTATTCGCAGCGTGGCGATGATCTCCCCCCACCCTAGTGCTGCCCCTGAGGTTGGGCTGCTTGGCTTCAACCCCCCTTCCAACATCCCGTATGTCTGAGGGCGGGTTCGGGGCCCCCTTTCCCCGCCCGTGGCGGTGGCCAGGCCTCCACCATCACCATATCGCGCCCCCGTGCACTCGAAATGGTGGATCATCATCATCATCATCATCATCATCATCATCATCATCATCATCATCATCATCATCATCATCATCATCATCATCATCATCATCTTCATCCTCATCCTCATCCTCATCCTCATCATCATCATCATCATCATCATCATCATCATCATCATCATCATCATCATTACCATCACCACCACCACCGCTACCACCATCAGCATCACCCTCACCCTTACCCTTATCACCATCGCCATCGCCATCGCCATCACCATAACCATCACCACCATCAGCAACATCATCAACATTATAAGCAGCAGCATCACCATCACCATCATCATCGTCACGATCATCAGCATCATCAACATCAACATCGGCATCATCATCACGAGCATCACCACAATCAACATCATCACCACCATCACCACCATCACCATGATCACCACGGTCACCACCATCACCGTCACCTTCACCACGCACATCAGCATCACCATCAACATCTCAACACTCACGAAAGCATCATCATCACCACAATCGGAATCATCATCATCGTCGTCGTCGCCGTCATCAGCCCCAACTGGAACGCATGGTTCCCCCCCGTGCCCACCGCGTCCGAGGGCGCGATCTCAAACGACGCCGCGGGGACGGCACCAGCAGCGGCTGGCCTCGGACTGGGGGGAACAGCGGCCGGCAGGGGCAGGAGGACTCTGCTTGCCATCGGCGGCAGTGCGCAGCCCCGAGAGAGCGCGCTCCGCGGGCGCGGTGAACGCCCCCGCCCCGAGTTAAAGCCAGGCGGGGTCCGGGAATGTGACGACGACGACGACGACGACGACGTCGGCGGCACGACAGCGCCGGCGCCGACAGCGAAGACAACAACGACGACGAGGGCGCGCCGACCACGACGACGTCGATGCCGACGCCGACGCCGACGCCGAGGCCGACTGCGACGGCGACGACGCAGATGACGCCAACGAAGCGCACGACGCCGAGCAAAAGCCGCCAACGGCGCCGACGCCGACACTGGCGCCGACGCCGATACCAACGACGACGCCGACGAAGAGCACGACGCCGAGCACGACACCGAGTACGACGCCGACGCCGACGTTGGCGACGACGAAGACGCCGAGCACGACGCCCTACGCCATGCTTTTCCATCCGTCGCGTACCCTCTTGGGATCAGTCAGTGCCCTGCTCGACATCCGACTGTGCGCATAGATAGAGGATCTTCGCAATGGTAAGGCATGGGAGGGAGGGGTAGGACGTCAGATGGGACGGTAGCGAACCTAGCTTGCCTCTCCCCCTCACCCCGCTGGGTTCCGAACCTGGGGGGAGACCCTACAAGCGACCACAGAAAGCGCTCTTTCGCAGCCCCGTGCAACACAAGTCAAGCGGGGGGGGGGGGCGAAACCTGCAGAAGGAAACATAATTGCGCACAGACTGCCACGCCGCCAAGGGCGAAACTCTACAAAAGGAATCTGCAAAGTCTTTGCGCCGATTACTGGCAACACGCACGCGCCAGACTCGCTATGCAAGGTTATCGGGAGAGGCTGAACCTCAGGGACAGAAGAAGCTGCTATGCCTCGGTCGAGGGCGAGAAACACACGCGAAAGGAAACACAGGCGTTGAAGCGAGAGCTTCTTTTCGACACGCGGCGTGGGGGACTCATACGCGGCCAATACGGCCATGGTCATATTCTTGCGTGTGCGTGATTTCGGGCCCTGCCAAGCCGAAGCCGTTGACACGCTAGGCAGCGCAGGCGGCGTACACGCCAAGCAGGGTCGGGTGAACCAGCCCCCCGATAGACTCGCAGGATGCACGAAGTGTGGAGCACTTAGCGTAAATAAGCGTATTCCGAACCACACGCTGAGAATAGGAACATGGCCGTAAGCAGGGTTAGCCTCAAGCGGCCGGCTCCGATTGCGTAGAGCTGCCCCGCTAGGATCCACGCCGCCAGTCCCACACAACGTGCGGGGGAACCGGCGGCACGCTTTTGGGGGCGAGCCACACCAATGGCAACGCCGAGCGTGCGCGGAAGCGCGCTTCGGCGTCCGAGGGGGGCGACGGAACAACAGAAGAGATGGCCGAATAAGCAGAACGAGCTAAACGACCCGGAGCCAGACTCGTGGCCACAGTCTCGCGGAGCTGTGGCACACAAGAGCGGGCGAGGCTGCCGCGAAGAGGCGCACAGACTTCTCCAAGTCAGCTCAGCTCACGGGCTTCCCCTGCATACTTCTCCAAGGCAGGGGGTGGGGGCTCGGAGGGCGGAGAGGGGACCTCCTCCTCCGCCTCCTGCATAGTGGTCCACGGGCCCACCGACACAATAACATCCGCTGGCTTCGGATGCCTGCCTGCTGCTGCCTGCGTCCATAGCGTGTGTCCTGCCCTGAGCGCCGACTTTCCGTGGGGGCGAGCACGCTCGGCGGAGACCCCGGACCCGCCCCCCCCACAAAAGTGTAAAACTTGCAGCCTGAGTTCATCGAAAACTCCCGTCACTGGCGCAGAGACATGGTAGAGGGAAGCAATTACGGAACACTCCCCCTCCCCCCAACTCAATGTTGGCACGCGCGGAAAGCGCTGCGGTCGAAGTGCATCTCATCAGACCCACCGCCAACTTTGAGAACATTGGGGGGAGGGGGGAGGCGTTGACAGATGAATTTGGCATGAGTGTTCGCTAATGTGTTCCGAAGCCTGGACAACATGTTGTACCCAAGGGCCGCAAGCCGAGGAGCATCGCAGCCACGAGTCCCAACACCCACGCCCCCACGCGGCAAAACCACTGACTTGGGCAACTCATCAGGCGACCGACCCCCCGGAGGCACCTCAGACACTGCCCGAATTGGCAACTCCAGGAGCAGGGGTGCCCAGATGGAGGGGGTCGAACGCCCACTGAGGGCTCATAAGGGGGAGGAGACACTCTGGAAACATGAGGGCCCATATCGAGCCGACGGGACTTTGCACTGCTTGTCTAATCGCCCTCGGCATGCGGAAGAGGGTGAGGGTGAGACGGGGAGGGTGAGGCGGAAGAGGAGGAAGACCAATGCAAACCCAAGACGCGTCAATGGTGTTGCAAGAAACCCTGCCTCCGAATTCCCCCTTCATCGTCCGTTGTCTCCCCCTTCATCGTCCGTTGTCGTCGCCATCACTGCTCCGCTTCGCGTTGAGTTTGGCAGGCAGCGTGCGTTCGAAGTCAAATGTCGTCATGCTCTCTGCGTGTGGTGATGCGGGGGCGGGCAGTGGTGGATGGGATAGGGGAACGAGAAAGGAGGAGGAGGAAGAGGAAGAGGAGGAGGAGGACAAGGAGGAGGATGGAGAGGAGGAGGAGGACGAGGAGGAGGATGAGGACAAGGGGGAGGAGAAGGAGGAGGAGGAGGAGGAAGAGGAGGAGGAGCAGGATCAGGAGCAGGAGGAGAAGGAGGAGAGAAAGGGCAAGGAAGGGGGGGGGGAGGAAGACGGGGGAGGAGGAGGAGGAGGAGGAGGAGGAGGAGGAGGAGGGGAGGAGGAGGAGGAGGAGGATGGAGAGGAGGGGGAGGGGGCAGGAGATCCCGCGCGGTCGGCGCGCCGGCCTCGAAGCCGATTGACCCGAACTTGTGCCAGAAGGAAGCGCAATCCGTGGCATGTCCTTGTGATCAGAGGTGCCACTCGAGAATCTGGCACCCGCAGTGCTGGCGCCCACCACTTCGCCATGCCAGCCCACCACCTCCCATTGAGTCACTTCTTTTCTGAAGGGGCCCTGGGGCACAAAAATTAACACACACACAAGTAAAAGGAGTCACCAGATTTGCCCATATATTCTGGGTTCTTGCCTTCACCCCCAATCCCCATATTTTCCCATATGTTCCTGGGAGTGGCCGATGAATTGTGTCTGCGTTTTTTCCTCTCTTGATTCTCTCGGGAACCACCGCTGGAGACGACGCTCGGCCCGGCGGCGCGGGCCGGCCCCCGCGAGGCGCTGGGGGCTCGGCTCCTGCAGCGCGCGGTGCACGAGCTCCCGCAGCGTCGCCCCCCCCCCCCCCCGCCGACGAGCTGGCCGCGACAGTCAGCTCGAACTCGAATGAAGGGGCCCCAGGGCACACAAATAAATACACACAAATAGAAAGGATTCCCCATATTTTCTGGGTTTTTGTCTTCCCCCCCACTTCCTATATTTTCCCATATTTTTCTAGGAATCGACGATTCATTGTGTCTGTGTGTTTCTTTCCCTCCTGATTGAACGTCCCCAGAGCGGGAGCAGGAGCAGCAGCAGGAGCAGCAGCAGGAATGGCAGCCTGCCTCGGCCCGTCGGCGGCAGCCGCCCCGCCGGGCGCGGGGCCCCGGCGCCCCGGCGACGGCGGCGCGGCCGCGGGCGCCGGCCGCACCGCAGCAGCTGTGCAACCATCGGGTCGGGTCGTTGATGCCTCCTCTAACGGGCGAAGGACGATATAAAGTAACCTTTTTCGCTGTCGGGGGCGCCTGTCCCTGGGCGGCTGGAAAGTTTATACCCTTACGGTGGCCCCGTAGGGGTATAAACTTTCCAGCCGCCCAGGGGCAGGTGTCCCCGACGGGGGAAAGTTTATTTTATACCGTTCTTCGCTCGCTGACTCCTCCTCCTCCTCCTCCTCCTCCTCTTCCTCCTTCCTCCTCCTCCTCCTCCCTCCTCCTCGTCCTCCTCCTCCTCCTCCTCCCTCTCCTCCTCCTCCCTCTCCCTCCTCCTCCTCCTCCTCCTGTTCCTCCCCAGCCTCCGAGGTTGCGCTGCGCTGATGCCGCTGCCCACTCTCGGGTCGGGCGAAAGGGGGGGATAGCAAAGGGGGGGGGTGAGAATCAGCTCGCATGGCTGATTTTCCCGGCGCAACCTGGCGCCGGAGGCGGCTGTGTATCGAGGCATGGGCCCCTCGGCGAGGCCGAAACTAGCTGCATGCAGCAAATTTCGTAACCCCCCTTTCCCAATCCCCCCCTTTCGTCCAGCCCGAAACCAGAGGGGCGACGAGGCGAAATCGCTTTCCGCTTGCGTCGAGCCGTGTTCCCGCTGGCGTGCTCGCGAGCCCTCGCGGGGGCCCACGAGGCCGTCGCCGTCGCCGCAGCCGCCGTTGTCGTCGTCACCCTTCACAAGTCGGCGGCACCGGCCGTAGAGCCCTTGCAGTTGGTCATATTCGGGGCCGGCCTCTGTGGAGGCGTTGAAAAGGGGGTCGGAACTTATGGCCCGAAGCATGTGCGCGAACGAAGGGGGGACCAGGGGACGCGTCGAGAGAAGGAGCCATAACATCTGGGAAAATATCATGCCCCCTCCTAATGAAAAAAACTCTTGGACGGTCCCGAGAAAAAAGGTTTCATGCACGCCGTTATGGCGACCTTATGCGGTGGCTTACGCGGGCAGCCAGCAAAGCACGCCACATTCGGAATGAGGGCGCTAACGCGCGACGTGACGCGAGACGCTTGCGCGCACATGCCGGTGAAACCGGTTCGGTTTTCTGCGCCGTTGAGGTGTCAGCGTGGCTAGCGATTGTGATGATAGGCTGCCCTGGGAAAGTAATGCAGTTTGAACTGTCGACGTGTCTGTTTTCGTCGCCCTTTGTTTTCCGCAGCCACTCTGTGGTGTTAGGTCCTCGTTTTGAAGAAACAGCGCCCCGCGTCTCACCTCCTCCTCCTCCTATTCCTTCTCCTCCCCTCTTCCCGCTGCCCCTTCCCGCCTCCCCCATGATGATGATCATCATCATCATCATCATCAGCATCATCATCATCATCATCATCATCATCATCATCGTCATCATCGGCATCATCATCATCATCCTCATCATCATCGCCATCATCATTACCGTCATCAGCAGCAACATTATCATCACCACCAAAATCGTGTTCATGATCTTCCTCACAATCACCATGGCCATCATCACCATCAGATTCATCACCGTCATCCGCATCACCATCATTACCATCATCACCCGCATCGCCATACTCATCATCACCATCCGCATAGACTCATAGCGTTCGCATTCGTCTGCGACGACATCATCATCACCAGCATCACCAGCATCACTAGCATCACCCTCATCCTCATCCTCATCCTCATCCTCATCCTCATCCCCACCACCACCACCACCATCATCATCGTCATCATCATCATCATCATCATCATCATCATGATCATCATGATGATGATGATGATGATGATGATGATGATGATGATGATGATGACGATGATCATCATCATCAGCATCATCATCATCACCATCATCATCATCATCAGCATCAGCATCAGCATCAGCATCAGCATCAGCATCAGCATCAGCATCATCATCATCATCATCATCATCATCATCATCATCATCATCATCAGTATGGTCGTCATCGTCAACAACATCGTCATCATTCCCTTTTCCGCACAGCACTCACACTCTTCGTGGTCCCACAGGGAGCTCCATCCATGGTCCCAACGGCACCGCCCGCATGTGGGCGCCACCCCCGTGCAGGCACACCCCTCACACGTTTCGTGGCGTCAAAAGGAGTTTCGCCTAAGATCCCGCTGGCGCCGCCCGCATGTGGGCGCAACCCCTGTGTCGGCACACCCCTCACACTCTTCGTGGCCCCATAAGGAGCTCCGCCTAAGGTCCCAGTGGCGGCGCTCGCATGTGAGCGCCACCCCCGTTTCGGCACACCCCTCACACGTCCCGTGGAGTCAGAATGTGAGCAGGCGGCTCAATCAATCAATAGTTTGGTTGGCCTTCGTGCCCCCGCAGTGGCGGTTTTGGACGCACGAAATGGGCATGGAAAGAATGGGCACAATGGCCAACAGCAAATGTTGTCCCAAACCAACAGCGGCCGCTGTTGGGCAGGCGGCCTCCTGTCTCGAATTGACACAGGCCGCGGCGGCGTGGACAGCGAGTCCGGTTCAAAATGAACAAGAAATGCTGTTGGGCATTGTACCCATTCTTTCCGTACCCATGTCGGGCGTCCCGAGCGGTGGGGCGGGGCAGGCAGACGGAGGGCGGGCAATCCCGGGTCGTCTGGACGCCGGAGGGGGGGGGCGGGCTGGGGGCGGGCCGACAATTCACGGCGGGGGGGGGGGGCAATTCCGAGCCCGGGCAGGCCAACGCAGCCTGACCGACGGAGGGCGGGCAAGCTCTCACTCTGACTGTCTGGGCAGGGCCCCGCGGGCTGACAATTCGAAGCCGCAGGGGCGGACCATGCGAGGCCGCGGGGCCTGCCTGGGGCCAGGCCTGCGCGGAGAGCAGAAATTGAAGGGGCCCTGAGACACACGCAAATAAATACACACAAATAAAAAGGATTCCCTATATTTTCCCATACTGTCTGGGTTTTTGTCTCCCCCCCCACTTCCCATATTTTCCCATATTTTCTTGGGAATCGGCGATTGATTGTTTCTGTGTATAGTTTTCCCTCCTGAGGATTGTAGATCCACCGATCAGGGCGGTGGGGAGACAATTCCGAGACGGACAGGCCAAAGCAGCCACCGACGGAGGGCGGACAATCTCTGGCTTCAGGTTGTTCCCATCCTACTTCAGGACCACATCCCAGAAACAATTTCGAGCACCCGCAAAAGTGTCAAAAGAGTGTCGAAACAATGTCGGGCGAGTGTCTCCCAGGGCCCGACACGTGAAAAACCTTGAGTTTGGCGCTCGAAATTCTTTCTGGTGGTGAAGGCCAAAGTAGGTTGGAGCATCATAGCTCTGGCTGTCTGGGGAGGACCCCGCGGGCTGACAATTCGAAGCCGCAGGGCGGACAATCCGAGGCCGAGGGGCTGTTTGCGGCCAGCCCTGCGTGGAAAGCAACAACTATTATCCTCCACCTCGTTCTCCTACACCTCCTCCCCCTCCCTCCCACCCCCCGTCCGCCTCCTCTGCCTCGTCCTCCTGCTGCTGCTGCTGCTGCTGCTGCTGATGCTGTTGCCCTCCTCCTCCTCCTCCTCCTCCACCTCCTCCTCCTCCACCTCCTCCTCCTCCTCCTCCTCGCGGCTTCGAGAATACAGCGCCGACGCTGAGCGTCTCTGGACGTAGGCGATCGGGCGCCCCATTCTCCTTCTCCACCTCCTCCTTCTCCTCTTCCCTTTCTTCCTCTATGCTGCAACTGCGAGAATACTACGCCGACGTGGCACTTCCGCGGAATCGCGCGTTCGGAAACGCCCGCGGGGAGGGGGGGGGAGCGATTAAAAACAAAATGTTCATCGCCGCGGTTCCTGCGACAATTCGCGCGCTGCGTCTGCTGCGTTCCGCCTCTTCGACAGCGCCCTCCCTTACCTACTCCCTATCCCTCCTCTCTCCGCAATCCCCCCCCGCGCCGCGGGTGATCAAGCGAGCGCAGGGGGGCGAACATGAAATCAATTCCCGCGCGACGGCAGAAAAATGCCGGGGGGGCAGACGATCAAAAAGTAAATTTCCGGCGGCTGATCTCTATGAGTCTGCCCCGCTCATTCCTGTTGGGGCACCCGGGGAGGAGGGGGAAGAGCGTGTTTTTTGTTTCATCGGTTGCCCCCACGAAGGAGCTCCACTTGAGGCCCCAGTAACGCCGCCCGCGTGTGGGCCGCACCCTTGTTTCCGCACACCGCTCACATGTTTCGTGGTTTTCCGGCACACCCCTCGCGCGTTTCGTGGCCCCTTTAGGGGGAGCTCCACCGGAGGCCCCCGTCGCGCCGCCCGCAGGCGAGCGCCACCCCTCCTGGGGCCTCTTTTTGGGGCTTCTCCGGGGCTTCTCCTGGGCCGTCTTGGGGCCATCTTGGGCGTCTGGAAGCGATCCCGGGATGTCTTGGAGGCCTCCTGGACCCTATCGGGCGCTTTCTTGGGCCCTCCTGTCCCGTCTTGGGGGGCCTTCCTGGCCTCTCTGGGCCGCCTCTGGGAAGCGAATCGGGAGGGTGTCACAAAGTGTTCCCGGATGGTGGCGGAGTGGCCGCCTCCAGGCAGGGGGGGGGTCTGGTTATTTGCGCTATATGTGTATGCGAACCCACATATATTCATATCGGAGGATGTCTGCGCGGAAGGGTCCCAGACATACGATGTCTTGCTTGTTTCAGCACGGGGGCCCCCGAAAAGTCCGACCCGCCGCTCCCCGAGGCCAGTCTTCATCCCGGGACGCCTGAAGGGGCCCTGGGACACACAAATAAATAGACACAAATGACAGGATTTCCCATGTTTTCCTATATTTTCTGGGTGTTCGTCTTCACCCCCCACTTCCCATATTTTCCCGCATTTTCGGAGGAAATCGACGATCAATTGTGTCTGTATGTTTTGTTCCCTCCTGAACGCCTTCTGACGGCCCCGGGGCTCAGCGAAGGCCCCGGGAGACCGAGAGCGGCCCAACACCTCCCGCGGTGCTGCTGCACGGCGCAACACGTGCCCGGGCCAGCACCCGTCGTGGCCTCTCCGCAGCGGAGCGGAAGTCTGGACTTGCAAAACTCGCTGCCAAACAGAATGGG